CTGGCCGCCCCGCGCCTCGCTTCCCGCCTCCTCGGCCGCCGGCACTGGCGGTTGGAGCGGCCCGCAGCGCCCCCTGCCGCCTGGGAGCCCCCAGCCGCGGCCTGAGCCGGGCACCAGCCCTCCCACGTGGCCCCAGGTCCGCACACGGGCAGCGACCCCGCTCCCCAACACGGCCCAGCTCGCCTGTGTGAGACCCCTCTTGCTTGCACGCACTGCCGGCTCCCCGCGCACCTGGCTGCCCCGCCGCAGGCCTAGCTCACACCTGCCGCTGGCTTTAACGTACGAAAATCCTACCAAGTCGGGAAGAAAAGTGTTTTTTAAAAAAATCAGGGAGACCATCTGGTGTCGCCTTTCCCCAGTGGCTTCCTATTAGGTCACCCCTTTCTGGCCCAGGATGGAGGCCTGGAATCGGAGACCGGAGTGGCAAAATCACAACAACGACATTGCTAGTTCCCAGAGTGTTTTTAAGTCACTGTTTTTCCATCCTAGGAACCTGTTACACAAGTCATTTGTTGGGGCAGCAGACATGCACATCCATCCAGGAGCCTAACCTTGTTAAGTGTTCTCTTCAGAACAGCCTATACTCCTCTCAGGGATGTTTTTCTAGCGAATATTGCTTCCATGTTTCTTGGCAGATGGAAGAGACTCCCCTCAACCTTCTTCCCCTTTTGTCCCGTGTTGTGTCTCTTCTTATCTCAGGGGCCCAACATGTTAAAAATGGGAGGTAGGAACAGTGTAACGTGAATGTCATAGATAAATAGGCCTGAGGAAGGCCCTGTGCGCCTAAAAGCATGCAGAGAAAGATAATTTTGTTGCAATTTCGTAGTTGGTCTAATAAAAGGTATCACCTCTGAACCAAGAGTTCTAGAGTTTTGCATTTCTTTTTGTCAGACCAACGCAGCTACCAAATACATCTCTGAAACATGGAAGATGCCGAATTTTAGCTGATTTTGGATTTAAGTTTCATTGCTGAACAACAAGAAAGATTTCTACACCTCCCTGCCTGCCATCTGACAGCACCAGGGAAGGAATCCTGCCTGATCTGCACATCAAAGAGCAACTCAAAAGACACTGTCATGGACCCAGAGGGACAGACTTCCACCTTCAGGTTCCTCTGCGCAAAAGTGAAGTTTATTTTCTACCTACGGGGACTTTTTACCATCTTTAATTTTCCCTAAGCCTGAGGAAGGGCCTGTGCACCCAACAGCTTGCAGAAAGAGGGTTTTTTTGTTTTTTTGCAATTTCTTAGTTGGTCTAATAAAAAGTATCATCTCTGAGCCAAGAGTTGTAGAGTTTTGCATTTCATAGATAAATATACAAAATCCAACTGACATCCCTGCTTGTTTTACAGCTGTAGGTACTGGCCTACCGACTGAATCTCTCCAGGTGGAACCTGTAGGAAGCAAGACATCAACCAGCTCCCAAGTGGGTACAGTTGTGAGGCTGGGGCCTCAGGTAGGGGCACTGTAGGCTCCTGCTCCTATGCACCTCAAACTTGCTCACACCCCACTGACTTCATCCAGGCACTTGGTTCCACCCCAAGGGATCCCATTACAAGGCCCACCTGGAAATGACATGGTCTTTACCCAAAAAGCCTTTTATTTGGATGCAATACAGTCCTGAATCCTAGAAAATTAGGGTTGGAAGGGACCTCAGGAGGTCATCTAGTCTAACCGCCTCCTTAGAGCAGGACTATCCCCAACTACATTATCCCAGCCATTGGTGATGCATAGCGGGTCCACATGCACCCCCTGAGATTGGCTGCTGCTGACACTGCTGGTGGCATCTGCAGGCAGTCACCACTCAGCACTCGCCACCCCCACACCTGGCCACCCACACTGCTACGTCTGCCTGCGGGTGATTCCCGCTCGCTGCTGCCATGCCCCTGCTGCTGCCTGTGGGAAGTGGGCATGCTCCCCACCAGCCTCAGGAGGTATTCATGATCCCAGCCAAGGCTTTGATGAGCTGGGCCTTAAATGCTCCAAGGATGGAGGTGGCACCACCACTTCTCTAGGTGACCTGTCCCAGTGCTTCACCACCCTGGAGAAAGTTTTCCCTAATATCCAATTTAAATGTTCATGAGCAGAGCAGTACAAGAGCGTGATGACATGCATTTTAAAGGGAGAATTTAAATTAGGATCTCCATCCCACAAAGCAAGTGTGTATCCCTGCGGACTGCCTGCAGCACAAAAGCCTTGGGCTCAGCTGCCATCCTCTGTGCCAGGGGGAGCCCGCTGAAGTCCTACAGGCAGGTCAGCGGCTGCGCTTGAGACCCAGAGCTGGGACCAGAAGGATCAGGGCCAGGAAATGTAGGCTCAGAAGCACCTCCAGAAACGCGGCGGAGCGAGGGGATTAGACAGCTCCTCGCCGCACTGACCGGAATGATTTAGTGGGCGCTGGTCCTGTTCAGAGCAGGGGGCTGGCCTAGACCCCCAGGGCCCCCCAGCCCCGTCCTCTCCCCGCCGGCACTCTCGCGGTGCCCCGGCGGACTCACTAGGGGGCGCGCGCAGGAGCCGGTGTCAGGCCCTTCGGCCCGTACCATTCCGCGTCCCCCCCGCGCCCGGCAGCCATTTTCCACTTCCTCCGCCGCGCCGCATCCTGCCCCTCTCCCTCTGGGCTGCGGTGGTGGGCGCGGCGGCCGCTCGGGCATGGCGGCGGCGGTGGCGGCCGGGGGTGCTGGCGGCGGCGCGTCGGGGAGCGGCGGCGGGATGGCGCAGAAGACTTGGGAGCTGGCGAACAACATGCAGGAGGCGCAGAGCATCGACGAGATCTACAAGTACGACCGCAAGCAGCAGCAGGAGATCCTGGCGGCCAAGCCCTGGACCAAGGAGTGAGCGCGGGGCCGGGGCCGGGGCTGGGGCTGGGGCTGGGCTGTCCGGCTCGGGGGTGGCGGAGGCCCCGGGCCGAGCTGAGCTGAGCTGAGCTGGGCGGGCTGGTCGCGTGCCGTTGCAGCCACCACTACTTCAAGTACTGCAAGATCTCGGCGCTGGCGCTGCTGAAGATGGTGATGCATGCACGCTCGGGCGGCAACTTGGAGGTGATGGGGCTGATGCTGGGCAAGGTGGACGGTGAGACCATGATCATCATGGACAGCTTCGCCCTGCCCGTGGAGGGCACCGAGACGCGTGTCAACGCGCAGGCGGCCGCCTACGAGTACATGGCAGCCTACATTGAGAACGCCAAGCAGGTGCGGACCTCGCGCGGTGTAGGGTTGCCAGGCCCCCGGGGTTAGAGAGACGTCTCCAGGAGACTGCTGAGAGTCACCCGGGAGATAAATGATAGGGCATTCATTAAAATAAATGTTAAATGTTGGATCTGATTTATACAGTAATCCAATGGATTTTTAAAATGTAATAGTAATGTGCATTTGCCTTCCTAACGTAAAGTCATTAATATCATTATATCATGTGATGAAACGTCCCAGAATAGATTCAAACAGTTGGCAACCCTAGCGCAGACCCCTGCCTGCTCCAGACACCTCACACCTGCCTTGCGTGTCATTTCCTGTTGGGGAAGAGGAGAAGGGGCGATGCTCTTTCCCACTTGGGTTCAAATCCTGGGCCAACTCCCCTTGCCGCTGTCCCCCGCAGCACAGAACAGGGTTTCAGCAGCAGGGAAGGGCAAGGGAGTGGGTTTCTTCCCAAATTGGCCTTGCCTGCGTTGTGCCTTGTAGTCAGGCCTGAATTTTGACATTTGAAAACAACAGCAGAAACACCTCTCAGATGCAGCGTGCTTTCTCTCCTCCTCCCCCCCCCCCCTTTTCCTAAATCCCTCTG